TATGTATTAAAATTTATTTACTATAAGCTATATATCCAATTAAATTATTTATTTTGTAGAAATATTCGAAATAAAGCCGTATCTGACAAAACAAAGGAGTTAATGTATTCTGTTACTAAATTGGATACGAAAAAACAAGTATTAAATGTGTTAGAAAAAATTAAAGAATCGGGTGAACCAGAAGCAACAGGTTTTTTATTTATAATTACTATATAAAGTAAAAGGGGGTAATTCAGTAGATTTAAAATTTAATATCATATATTTTTGTTTTCAAGAAAATTTTAATAAAAAAAAGCATAAATAATTTATTATTACTTAATATTTACTAGAGCAAACAAATTGAATTCTAGAGGATAAAGTGACGAATTAACAGTTTAACATAAAATTAACTGTTAACAACAATAATTATTAGCATTTATAATAATTATATATAGTATCACCCACTCTATATTTGTACAATTGTGTGAAATCCTTTAATTGGAATTAAAGGTTTTTTTACACCACTTGATTTGTCTTGGTATAATGATAAGTCTTTAATATAAATTGATCTGCCATTTTATCTACTACTGCTGAATTACCCCTTTATCTTATAAATTTTAAAATTAGATTATATATTAATTTAATTTAATTGAAAAAAACAGACTGGGTTAAAAGTAAATATAAACTATGGATATTGGTTGGACTTTCATTAGCATTCACTAAAATGGAAATTGATATATGGAATCAAACCCCAAATAATACTAATATTAACGAATCATCACATGCAAATATAAATCAGGATGGTCGATCTTTAACGCTGTTAGCAGCAATATATCAGTATGTATATTAATATAGCTTTAAAATCTTTGCATATATATATAAATTTTAAAAAAAAATTTTATTATATAGAAGTAATGATTTTGATAAACGGCAATGGCATTCAGCAACAACATATGAGCAGTATAATATACATGAATCATACAGAAATAAATCTGAATTAGCCCACTTAACAAAGAATTCAAAGAGAAGTCGTAAGTTTGATTTCTTTAATAATTTATACAATAATAGCAGCATCAGAGTATATTTAGTATAAATTTTCTAGAAACAACAAGCATTATGCAGCATTATTGTTATATATTACAAATAACAAAAATAAATATTATATATAATTAATAATAATAAATAGAAAACGAGTGTGATATTACATGAGTTCTAAATCTAATGCTAATTAGATAATAATTTTGGTCAATATCTAGAAAATTTGTACTGCACTCTGACGTTGTTATAATTAACATAATTATTATACATTATTTAGAAAAGCGAAAAAATAAAGGCAAAGAACCTGCCTCAAGATCTACATTACGAAAAAAACCTAAAAATCAAGCATTGAATGATGAAAAAAGTGAGGATTTATTTTCTATATCAACTTCTACTCCCACAACACAAGAGCAAGACAATTATATCGAATGGGAGAATAAAAAACTTGAATTACAGCGGAAAAATTTAGAAATTCTTAGAGAAGAAATTGCATTGCGGGAAAAACTCAATAGTTTAAAGCAGTTAAGTGAATAATTATATTATTATTTAAATATAATATTAAATAATATACTAAATGTTATTTTTTTATATAAAAAGGTAGCATTCTGGTTAATAATATCCGTGATAATTACATGCCGAGTGTTTAAATTGGTTATACTAAATTGCAAAAAAAAAAAAAAGGCATATAAGCATAAATAAATAAAATTGTAATGCATATATAAGTACATGCTTCTAAATACGAAATGAATTGCTGTAATAATTTAATAAATAAGTATATTTTCGAAATACAAAATGAATCGTTATAATAATTTAATAAATAAGTGCATGTTTCGAAATACGAAATGAATCGCTATAATAATTTAATAAATAATTGTATCATTTTTATATCCTATAGCATTTCATGGAAATATTATCAATCGCTTAAAAAAATAAAAAAATCATATCTCTATTATACACAATTTATAGTTCATTATAACGTATACACTATAGATACAGTATACTGTATGATTATACATATTTTCGTAGTAATATAGTACCGTATCCTACCGTACAGTACCAAGAAATTAATCGTACCGTACATAATCTCTGTACCCCGCATATTAAAGTAATAAGGCCATACAAACTTAATAAATCAGGTTTCATAACATAAAATTTTCAAAGGTGACCCGGCAGCTCGGTTTTTTTTTTGATTTTATTTTCAAAAAATTTATAAGCATACTTGAAATTTTTTTTTTGAGTTTTGTAAATTTTGACCCGGCCGGGTTATGTATTATCAAACAATAAGGTTTTTTTTTGATCAGTTCCTATATAGTAAAGTCAAAACTTTACTATGCAAACCTACATTTGTGCATTAAGAAAAATTAATCAGAAGGTCAAAATATATATATATTGAAAGATTCACTTAGATTCATCAACTTTTTATTGATACATTTCCAGTATACATATTGTAAATGGGAACGGATTTAATTTTTATAACTAGTAATACCAGTCAAAACATTTCGCAAAGAAAAAACATTTAGTCATTAGGTTAGGGCAAGTAGATTAGGTTGTGGTTATAGGTAGACCAAAACTTTTGCAAGGAATCCATTTTGTTAATACGCAGAAGGCAGTTTCATATACAAAATTTAGAGCTACAGACGATTTTTGGATTGTTTTACGTAGTTTCTTGACCTTTTTCACGTTATACCTGATCTCGAAATTTGATTGGCCAGCGAATTTTTTTATACTGGTATTTTAAATACTGTCAGCGTTATTTTGAATATAAGCTTAACTTAGGCCGAAATTCGAATTACACCCCTTTGCGTTATTTCGGTATTTATATCATTTCTATTATACTAATAATAGAAATCATAAATAAAAGTTAAACCTCCTATGTAAAATAACGCAAACAAATAAATTTTCATTTCTTACATACTATGATTATGGATTTCGTTTTTCCATAACAAGCAGATCAATCATCATACGTAATGAACCATGGATCGATATGAAAAGTGTGATTGCTTCAAGAAAAAAAAAACCCCAAAACGATACGTTTTATTTTTTTTTTAACATATCAACCAATAGACCTCCACGTACAGTTGTTAGGCGAAACCTCTAGGTTTCGCCAAAAAAAAATCAAAAGGACGAAATGGCGAAACAGGCGAAACCTGGCGAAACTGACGAAACCTGGCGAAATTGGCGAAACCTGGCGAAATTGGTGAAGCCTGGCGAAACCTGGCGAAACTAGCGAACTCTGGCGAAACTGGTGAAAACATAGCACAACAAAATTGTCCCGGCAGATTCGGGTACCCTTATGTCAAACAAAATCGACATCCGACCTTAAAATTTCTGGTCCGGCTCCAATAAAATCATGAGATATTGTGTAACAAAACAAACAGCAAAAAATAAAAATTCTTAAATAGAGCCAAATTTTATTATGCTAACCAACTTCCGGCTT